GTGGACCTCAGCTCCCAGAAATCCCCAGCCAGCCTTGCTTTGCTGGCTGGGGAATTCTGGGAGCTGAAGTCCACCGCTCTTAAAGTGGCCAAGGTTGCGAGACCCTGTGTTAGGTGGAGACTTTTCTCACTTTACACCTGCGAGTACCTCGAAAGCAAGCCCAGCTTCGCAGCCCTTTGCCGAGGCCCGCGGGACGCCCGAAGGCCGGCTTGAGCGTGCCGCGCTCGGGCTTGGTGAGGCCTGGGAACAGGGCCTGCTGGGAGCTGCTCAGTCCGGCTTAGGAGCCCGGCTGGGGCGAGCGAGGATGAGCAAACTGACAGCGCAGCCTGGCGCGAGAGCCTGCCCCGGTCAGCAAGCCCAGGAGGATTTGCCGAGCCCAGCGCTGGGTTTACCCGTCCCGTTCGGTCTCCCTGCACGGTGCGAATGCAGCGATCTCTCAGCCTAGCCTAGCCTACCTCATAGGACTGTTGTGAGGCTCAAATGAAAGCAGGGGACAGATGCATGCTGTCTTTAGTTCCTTGGCGGGCTTGCATACAAAAACTCTGGTCATAGCTGGGGCAAATCAGCATTCCCCAGTGGAAACATCGCTTTGTGTGAGCCTTGAGAGCGATGCGTGCTGTTTCTGCAAGCCAGGGCTAATTAACTAACCCCCTTCCCCCCGCTTGCTGCATTCCTTCTATTCCCCCCTCCTCTTTTTCGCACCAGCTCCCCAGCTGGGCAGAGGTGCCTGAAGCGTGTAAGAGGAGAAGCCGCGTTCATTAAGGGCACCAATGAAGTGCGCACCCTCGCAAAGGCATTGGCGGGCCGGAGCGCAAAGCGAAAAGGCTTTTTTTTTGCCACTCGCCTCGGGAACCAAAAGCGTTGTGGGTCAAGCCACTGTGGCATTTGCCCACAACGCTGTTTGCTCCACCATGTTTTAACTCTCCTAAGCCACCTCCAAATGAGGGGGGAAGTGCTACCCAGGGCCAACAATATCTGTGTTTAACGGGGTTGCGGAGATGTGTGTAAAAGCTGGCGGGGATTTTGTTGATTTCCAGCAGCCGAAAACCTCAGAAGATCCCAAGTCGCCAAGCTGGGATCTCTGCCCCAACCTGGTGTCCGGTGTGTTGGGACCACAACGCCCCAAATCCTCTGCCAGCAGATATTTGGATTTCAACCATCCTCCTCCATCATTTGGTCGTGATACAAACTGCCCCATCTTTACGTTTCAGATAAGTGTGTACGTTGGAGAGAATATTCACGCAGAGAGAGAAAGAATGAAGTTTCCTTTGAGTCAACTCAAACGCGAAGGATTTAGGGGCTAGATAGGGATCTTGGCAACAGTGCAGAAGATTTGCAATTTTTATTTCCCTGTGGTTTTTTTTAAAAACTCCCAGTCTAATTTTACAGACTTGGTGTGTGGGTGTGTTTATGGGTATATGTGTGTGTGGTTATGTGTATGACTCTTGTTTCTGCTTCTGACAGGCTGCTAACAAAGCTGGTGGCTGATTGAACTCCCTATGACAGTGTTACTCAACCCTGGCAACTTTAAGATGGGTGGACTTCAATTTCCAGAATTCTCCAGCCAGCCTTGCTGGCTGGGGAATTCTGGGAGTTGAAGTCCACCCATCTTAAAGTTGCCAGGGTTGAGAAACACTGCCTTAGGAGAATAGCCACAACCGTGCCCGAGGGAGAAAACATAACAAAATAAGCAAAACACATAGAGATAGAAGCCTGGTCCTCATGAATTTAGGGTAAATTAAACAAAACCAAAGGCTTTTGGCTGCTAGATACGCTCTGAACCTTCTTAAGGGATTCCACCTCTTGCTGGACACTTGGGTCCTCACCAGGCACCGTGGATCTGTCCGTCATTCCTTTTCAGTTCCAAAAACCAGGAGGAAGAGGAAGAGGAAGAGGTGATGCTGTTAGGTTAAACCTAGCCACTGCCCGGTTCCAACAGAAGAGGGCTTGGTCCTCTGGAGAGGCGGAAGGAGAAGACCTGCCAGAGACCAGGATGTCCCTCGATGTGAGGAGCCGCCCCTCCACAGCTTAGGAAAATCCAGTTCCAGTAGATGGTATCAGACCTGGGGCTCCCCTTCTCGCCCAAGGCTGACCCAGAAGCTTCTTGCCCAAAGGTGAGTGGAGCTGCCCCACCCCAGTCCACTCCAAGTGTCTCCACAAACGTGGTTCATCAGCTTCAGTCCTTGTGACTCATTACAGCTTAGGGATGTGCGGACACTGGATTTGGAAATTCAGTTCAAGGATTTGATTGAATTTCCTCCATAAAGTGACGGTTTGGTTCAAATCGTGGGCTAGAATCAGATGCCCCCTCCCTCAGCTTTAGCGCCCAAATTGAACTGAGTCCAGTTGGGCAGTTGGGTTCAGCAGCCTTGGAGGTATAGCCCTCTGAGACTTGCCAAGAGTTGAACTGAATTGCGCATTTATTTTATTTACCGACATAACGTAGAGGCTGCAGTTTCCCCTTTAAAAAGGAAGAAACAATAAGATAGGGGAAATAAATTGTGTACGTCTAGGGAAAAAAAATAAAAAAATAACACACCGGAAAACAACCAACAGGCTCAACATTTACCCTACCAAAGACCTGGGAGAGCAGCCAGGTTCTTGAGAACTTTCGGCATACAGTCAGGACAGGATGTTTGAATGGGACAGAATGGGAGAAACATTAAATCCATGAGAAGTAATCATGTTCTCTGTGTTTGGTTAATTTACTTTTGGCTGCACACCATTCGCTACTTTATCCCAGATCACGTTGCTTTGTGGATGCAGACCAAATGAAAGTGTAGCCTTCAGTCCATCAGACAGCCCTCCATGATTGGACGTGGAGATGAAGGAAGGTGGAATTTCGGAGAAGAGAGGTAGAGGTAGAAAGAATAGGATGCATCCTGTTGTAAGAGAAGAAAAGGCAGAGATAGGGAATTGCTAAGAATCCTGCCCATATTCGGAGAGAAATATTCTGGTCTGAAGGTTTAAAACCAAACAAAAAGTTACAGTGTTGTAACTACTCCCATTTACGGTGTCTCATAATACATGTAGATTTTTTTAAAGTGTCTTCCCCACATTGTGTCCTTGTTGTTATAAACTGCCAGCTAATCTTCCCATCTTGCATAACGTTCCCCAATGAAGTCTTTTCCGTTACTGAGTCCCCTAATGTGAGCCCTTCAAGGAAGTCCCCCTGCTTGGCACGCAACGTCTTTACGTCCATATTTTAAAAAGACGGTTGATGAGCACAAGGTAAGCACAGGCTTGCCTGGTTTATTGCTAGCATTAGTAAGATGACCACATTTCTTCCATAAAGAGTTATGGCTTAATCCTTCTCCATCCAGGGTTGAGGGGAGCTGAGATGTCTAAGGGTGTAAGACTTTGGGTCAGATCTAATCTGCTGGACTTGCTCATTGGTTGCAAAGACCTCCCCTAGAAATAATAATTGCCTGGAGTCTGATCTTTCCTGCAGGTTTCTTGATGGAAAAAGTGAAGGCCAAGTCAAGGTGCACCTTCGTAGTTGGGTTGGCATCTGTGTGAATGGGGGTGAGAATCCACGTGAAACAATGGTGCAGCAGCAGAGCAGGAAGCCACAGAGGGGGGTTAACAGAGGAAAGATGGTGGCTACAACCCCTGCAAAGGAAGACACCCCCCCCAACACATATGGATTGAACCCACCATGTTGACTTTTTTAACCTCTCTGCCCTTTAACCTCCAGCCCTGTCCAGTTCCCCTCCCCAGCTGAAACTTCGGCTAAGGAAGGCAGAGCCAGGAAAAAAAAACAAGTTTCTTCTTGACTGCCTCTTCAAAC